TTGCATAATGAACGAATCACTGTAACATCAAACGCTTGCGCAAGTCGTTGGCCGCGTGATGATCATATTCTGCCTGACAATGCCGCGCTCAAGCTCGCTTCGACTCGCCTTTCCTCCTACTACGGACATGCATGTGAAGGCCTCGCAGCGGATTACATGGAACATTTGCTCGGCGGCGATGGCGCCAATTGAGGGTTGTAAGCTCATCCTGCGTGGAAGGCAACAGGCGCCGGGCACTGCCCTTCAACACGTTGCAGGCAGTCCTCGTCTCCTCGTCTAGGTGAGGCATTCATTGTCTCTCCCTACCATGACCTTCCTACGGGGAGGCACTTGGCGTTCCCGCATCTCGACCAAACTCAAATCACAGGAGGTATCGCGTCGCAGCTCGAATAATCAGCCGGACGTTGAGGAGCTATGGAACGACGCTCTCAATCGATTCCGGAGCACTCTGCGCATCGATCCTCGCGATCAGAGCTTGCCTTTTGTTCGCGACCTGGAGCGACTCAGCAGCAGCGACGACATACTTGATTATCTTCAGGATACGTCAGAGTGCTTAAGTGACAGGCGGCAGGGAAGCAAGGCTTCGCGCGCTCTTAGGAAGTCGTTGAAACCACTGATATGCGGCTTGAGTGTGATACTCGACGCCAGTTCTGAGACTGCTTCGGCTTTGGTGCGTTACACAACTATGGTGCACGGCGTGCTTCACTGATACATGGGCTTAGGGAGTGCCCGGGGGCAAGGGAATCTTTGCCGCTGTTGCCATACTGCTGCAGGTGATCGAGTATGGACTGACGTTTGTTCCCTCACTGATGTTCGTTTTAGGCGGCAGATTGCGTGAGTGCAATGTACGACGACCTCCAGAAGCTGTTGGATGGCCTCGAGGCCTACGTCACGCGGCTGAAAGTGCGCGTGCAGGCGCCGATGAGAGAAGAGACGAGGCAGATCGCCGTGAAAGGGTTGATCGAGGTGTTAAAGACGCTGGAGTTGGCTACCAAGGTGGTGCGTGAGGGCCGCGCTCGTACGTGACAGTTTACATCTCTCTGTACATTGTACTGACACAGTACTCACAGGACGCTTCGTAAAGGCCTTATTGTCAAAGGCAAACGGTGTCCAATCCGCACTTGCGAGACTTGAAGCCATCACGATGGAAGAGGAAATGCTGGCGATCGCGGACCTAGCGGTTAGCGTGCACGCATCATCACAAGATGTTCAACAAGGTACATTGATCCGGGATCTGCGGGGATACGTATCCGATACTAACCCTTGGCATTCACAGCGAGCAGTACTTCTCTGCAAGTCCTGCAAGGCGTCCATAATGTCCGACCAACGATTGCCCGTACAGACATCACGACGCGCCGCATCTTGGGGCAGACATCACAGATGAGCACCCGCGGTATACACTTTAACTACTGATTGTGCGAACTCGACACTGATCAGCTGCTAGTCAATATACTGTTCAATCTTCTCCAGACGTGCCTTGAAGCTAATAATCCTGCCAACGCTCGACAGCTGGAAGATGCATCCGCGCGTGTCAATGAAGCTTTATCATCAGTATCCCCGCAGGTAGCTTCGCAGACAATTAGGTCCCGAGTTCGCGATGTATCGCGCATGGGACGACAGCTACTTAACGTTGTCTCCAACTTCGGTTCCGAGAATCAAGACATCATCTGGCGTGGCTTCGGTGCGCTGCTGTCCTTTGCGGTCGATTGTGAAGCGACCGCAAATGTCGGAAGTACTGCGCTCACGTGGGGGACAACTAGCCTCTATCTTACTGTCGAGGCGATGGGATCACTCGTCCACATGGGGTGTATGTTCATACTGCTGTTCATGATCTGGCAGCAGAGTTTTATCCTGCGCCCGATGTCGCGGTCTCCCGGTACCGTTATCATAGTGGACGTACTCGGCGAGATCTTCGAACTTCAGTCCGATACATTCTCAACATGGAAGGTAAGTTCTGACACCTGATGACACGGCAACGCAAGTCCTGACCGCTGTGTTAGAACACCCATGATTTCCTTCTACAGGCCTTCAAAGGTCGGAAAGGCCTTTCATTTGTGCAACGTAGAGACTACGCCTTGGGTGATTCCAATGGCATGGTAATAGAACCTCAGAAGTGGGCTCTTTCTGTCCGTCCGGGGTCAAAACTCAACATGAGTGTCATCATCCGCGATGGGTCCGCTCGGTGCCCTTACTGCCAACATGCGACTATTACGACTCATGGGAAGCAAGACAATGATGGCCGTATTGTTTGGTGCGAAGGTCATATGCATTTGGATCGTGTAGCCCTTACTGATCTGGGACCAGCTCTTCTAAGTCTTGTGGGCGCAGTTACAGTACTGTTCGCGTTACGGCGGAGAACCCCGACAGTACTAGAGAGATCAGGTATGAGTCAATGGATCGTTCATCAGCGGAAATTTACAATCGATATTTTGGTTGTAGCGATACGATGGTCCGCGAACCAGACTCACCCGAGGCACGACTCTCGAGATCACCCACGTCAGGAATGACAGAGAGAGTTCTGCCCCGTCCCGAGGAGTCCAACGCACCTGCGGCACACTCATGGGACCCGCGCACTACTACGTCCGGACCTAGCATAGCACGAACCGAGGCAGGACGTAAGGATGCGTCGTCTTCGGAGATGGAGGACGGCTCTTTGACGTCCTTCTATAGGATAATCGTTGAAATCAAAGTGCGACGGTACGCAAAGCCATCTACAATCACGATATTCAAGCATATAACTTGATACACAAAGACTCCTCATCGATAATGAGTTGGACGTGGCGAGCGAGCGACTCTTAGGCTCCGAGATAAGACTTTCCACGAAGCGATACTCGTTACTTCATCCAACGAGCACGGCGCGATACTCGTCACTTCATCTAACGAGCACGATGTTTAAGCGAAATCAACGAGCAGATGTCATGTACGACGTCCAGGGATGGATCGAACATCCCGCTTGCGTGGACAGGCGCGCGCTTCTCGTTATCGGCGAAGAACGCGGTGTAGCGTCTGTTGCGCGGGAGATCGCCACGCAGTACTCGCAAATGGGGCGCCTCGCTTCTTCGTTCACTTTCGACGTCTCCGAGAGACAGAGCATGGACCCCCCGCCGCCACAGACATGCATCACCACTCTCGCACGCGATCTCGCCGACTTCGACGCGCATTGTGCAGCTGCAATGCGCGCGTCCATCGCAAGCAACCCAAATCTGGCGTTCTCCTCAGATTGCTCCCAGCTGTTCGAACAGCTCGTTCTGAAACCAGCAAGCAATTTGTCCGTCGCGGCACCCGTTGTCGTTGTCATTGATGGACTGGACTTCAAGGGTACTGTCGCTCAGCGGATGGAGCTGCCAAGGGTCTTCGCGATGTGGCTTAGCGGGATGCCTTCAAACTTCCGTTTCGTGTTCACCATAAAGCCGGACCGCCTGATCGAGCGTGCGCTGGCGGTACATGTTGCTATGCTTCGCATTTAAGCGCTCTCCACTCGTATTCTTCATCCTCACTCTTCTTATCCTCAACATGTTTATTGTATGATACAGATACCACGCCGAACACGGGTGGCTCTCTCTGGATATCGTACTTGTCACTGCATTGCCGTATATATCCTTGTATCCTACCGAGTCGGTGGAGTTGTGTATATCAAACTTTGCCCTTGTAGCACCTTCGTGCCGGTATCGCCATGAATTCTATATCACTGCTTGGATGCGACATGGAAGTTGTTGTATGTATACTTGGCCTTTGACTCGCCTATGTGATGCGATGCCGCGTCGGTGCCACAAGCGGCCTCTGGGATACGTCGGGGATCTTCCTCGCCCACCTCCACGGCACTCAATCCGAACGTCGTATGCAAGCGTTTGTCATACTCATCATTGACTGTGTCATTTCTCTACCCGAAAGATTGCGAAAGTCCCAATATGAATGCCCGCACACGCAATCGTAAGTTACAAGAATTGAAAACATCAAGCGCGCAAGACCTTGATGCCGTCAGCGTCATTCTTCCCCTCGTCCGCCTTCGGCCCAAGCCCGACCATAGTGAGCAATCCCGTCTCGCGGACGCGGGTGATGATCCCGACGTCGTTCAGAACAGCGTAGGAGGCTCCACCTGCCGCGGTACCAGCCGCCAGCGCGCCGACGGGACCAGCAACTGCGAAGCCGCCCGTCGCGGCTGCTACGGGAGCGCCGACACCGATGACTTTCTTGAGGATGTCGAGGAAGCCCATTGTAAGTGTGATAGGCTAGGAGGGTATCAGCATCACTGCCTTCGTGCAATAGATAAACAACGTACGTTGGATGTGAAGGGGTAGGTTGGATGTATGCGCACGGATGCAGTGGTGAGTCGCAAGTGAGGTTGCTTTGAGAGGAAGTGGATGGGTTGTAAGACGGTGCGTCTGGGTATTGGGATTCCCTCTCTCGAACCAACTTATACCTCGACATCTCGCTGCATAAGAGTCGCGAAAGCGATAAGTGAGCCATCAGGAACCGAGCACAGGTCCGCCGTGGATCCAGTGCGGATGCTGCTAGGCAAGTTTGGACGTTTTCAACGGGAAAGACTCTTTTTGACAGTGATGCATACAGAGCGACCCGGAGGCCGGATTCCGGTGCTGTCTATCCCGGTAGGAGGCGGTGGAAGAGCGTTCAGTGCATGAAGGACCGGGCCGCAGTCCATACCTTCGAAGGCTTCCTCAATGGCGTCCAACTGCGAAAAGGGGCTGAATGCGCAAACGCATGATTGGTGTTCCAATTAGCAGATGATATGATTAAGTATGAGACTATCTGTGGGTAGACGAGTAAGCGTCGAGAGCAGTCGACTGCCGGATGGAATATTGTACGGATCATAACATAGAGCTCGGGTCTGGGAGCTCTCTACCAATCATCCTTCGTTCCTTATTCGCCTCGTTGACCTCATGCATGAGCTTCGCAATACGAACGGCCCGCGCATACTCGCGCCGTAAGGACTTGTACATCCCGTGCGCCGGATGGTCGGGCGTTCCGCGCCAGCGATACGCCTCGCGGTCTGCTCTATACGAGAGCCCTCGCAGCACCTCGAGTTCGTCCGTCCACCACGGGCTTTGCTTCAGGCCATTCTTGTTCTCGGGGCGCGGTCGGATGTGCTTGTAGATATATTTCTCGGAAGTCGTGTACAACTCTTGCCAAAGGGCGGCGTCCATGTCGTGAAATGTAGAGGTCGGTTATGAAGACGGTTATTCGAGTGGCGGTATCAAAGTTCGCCTTGGGATATCTGTTAAGCCTGAGTTCCAAGCGATAGCGGCAACAAGGAGGCGTTGAAGGCGTTCGCAGACTCGGTGGCGGTGATGGAAAGAGCCAAAGCTTGGCAAGCCGCAGGAGAGTGCGCCGTCTGGACCGCCGCGGCAGCCGCACGCTTGCATCTCGTTCTCAACGTCCATCCAATGCCAGACGACCAACACAACCTTCGTCATACACACATCACTTGCTAAGGCTGAAGCTATGGCTGTGCGATTTCCATCAAATACTCTGCCCACTCTGCCCCGCGTATACGGTCCCCGCCTTACCATCGAAGGGTAGCCACTCCCAAGCGGGTGCTCCCTTTGTGTGCTGTCTAGTGAACATCCTTTGTGTAAGAAGTCGGCCTCCGCAATCACCGCGCAAGCTTCTCAGGTGCCTGCCACTTCACCGCGGATGTCAAGGGGCGCTGCGCGAATACGACGCAGGAGGCCACAGGAGGACGTACCTTCAGGCGCGCGCCGGCCCCGACGCTACTGCGACGAGCTATCAGAAGCGCCGAAGACATCGCGCACTTTTTGCAGTGCCAACGCTTCCGGAGCGTGTACTTACGGCGGCGCACTACTGCATACTATTCGCCAAATTGACAGTTTCCGTGCTCTCGGATCGCCTGCGCACGTCGGCCGCCTCCTTTGACTATGCACTTACGCGCGTCGCGCGAATATGCAGATGTATCGGGCTCGTCGGGCGGCGCTGGTTAGCACCTCTCGACTATGCCTTCATCCTCGCTTGGCCTTTCGTACTCGACAGACGATGTGCCTGAGGCTTCAGGAAAATACTTGTATAAAGCATGCATGAACAGCTCTAGGCGACCAGCACCTCTGCGGTGGACATCGTCTCATCTCAGCACGCGCTTCCTCTACCCAACCCTCCAACTCTTAGTCTCTTCTTGCCGTTCATACACATATCCGTGAGTGATTCGTCTTCCGGGGTGAAGCTATACTGACATCTCTCCCACTTTGCCACAGACACACATGGGCTGGTTCGATAGCGTCAAGAACGCTGTGAGCAGCGCAGCGAGCTCCGTCGCCTCCTCATTCCACCGCGACGGCGCAACGACACGCTTCTGCGAGAAGCTTCCCATCATCGGATACGGCGTCGCCGGTATCCAGAAAATCGCGGGCAACGACGAGCATGCGAAGCGTGCCGTGGCGACTGCAACCAACTCGACCATCGCTCTTGGTGGCGCCGCGGCCGGGTTCTGCGTTGCAGGTCCTGTCGGCGCTGTCGCGGGTGCAGCGCTTGGGTCTGGCGCGGGCATCGCGAGCGAGTACGGTATCAGCAAGACTATCCACGACGAGAAGGTCAAGGGCGACGTCGGCAATGTCAGCGTCGGCCGTATCGTTACCGAGGTTGGCCTCAGCGCTGTCGGAGGTGGCTTCACGAGCGGTGGTGGCGCAGTCCTTGCATCGGGTGCTCGTGAGGTTGGCAAGATCGGTCTTAAGGAGGCGGCGAAGCAGACAGCGCAACAGTCGCTCAAGCAGGTGGCGCAAGTGACGGCGAAGCAGGTCATCAAGGCTAGCGTGGGGACGTTGGCTGGTAGTGTGCTTGCGGGCGGAAAGTGGGCGCTCTTTCATCAGGATTCCTGAATTCTTGATCACTGATGTGCATCTGTAGAGACGTTATAGGACCCAAGATTGAGAAGACCAACCCGCTTCTTCAGCACGACGACAAGACTGGTAAAAGGTCTGGATCGTACGTGCTCTCTGCTACCATGCGCGTAGCAGTGTCGTTGACTCCGAGTGTGAATGCATAGCGATCAGCAACTCCCGCCGTTGACTCCCGTCAACCCTGATGCCATCCCGGAGGAGGGGAAGCCGGGGAAGCGGGTCCGTGTCTGCACCGTCGCGCAAGAGCTGCAAGCCGTGCAAGTTTCTGCGTCCTGTCAGGCGATCCTCGGTGCGAACGAGTGGCACTGCGCTGCCCTCCCGGACCTCCTCGGCAACTTGACGCAAGTCTCGGGTCCCATCGGCGTGCACCACCTCGTTCCGTGGGACCCCATCGTCGTCGGATGGCGCGGTCCCGCACCGCCTGCCAACTACCACCAGCCCCAAGGCGGCATGGCGGGTAAGTACTACGAGGATCGCAATTCCCGCAAGCACACCGCGATCAACCAGTTACTACCGCAACCTCCTGCGTCGAACTGGGATCGTGAGAAGCTTGAAGCGGCGCTTGAGGCGCTCCTGTGCAGGGTCGATGCGGCCGTGGATCAGCTTACTTCTCTCATGGAGAACGATGTAGAGTACGTCTACGTATGATAGATTGTCTTCGCGGAGCTGGGGTTTCTCTTTTCACTCGGATTATCATGTAGTAGTAACATTTATCCTGGTCTCATGCGCGTGGACTCTCAAATGATCAGGTTCTCTGTCACCTTCCCTTCACTATTCAGAAGCATCTCCTGGTACGTGCCTCGAGTTTGTATGTCCGCTCAGGGATGTAATATCTGCAGCTCGCTCTCCGCCGTGTTCATTCTGCATAGCAGCGTTATATGTATTACTTCCAATAAGTATACAGTCTTGCTCATATGAGAGATGCAGTTCCGTTGTGCGGGATATGATGATGAGCTCTGCGAACTCACGCGGGGTAGGTCGGTTGGTCGGCCCGAATTCTCCGCAGCTGCGCGCACCGAGCCGGACCGGCCAGACAGGCTCTTGCCTCACGCCTTCACCTCCCCACTCGACAGTCGGGCAGAGGGATCGTTGATTGCACATATGTCAGCCGTACTGAATATGCCGCACACACGGAGATATGTCTCCACATGACCGCCGCATCCCGCGACTCAAAGGAAGTGACCAACAACTTTATCATCATCCTACTCCATCCGACAACCATTCTGCTGTGGATGTATACTCCCCTGGCTTATTCTGAAGCACCCCAAACCTCAAACCCGTCACAATGTCTTCATGATTACAGCCGCGCATGTCTGCGCTCCGGCTTCTACAGCCCCTGAACAGCATTGTCGCAGTATATCTGGTCCCGAGCGCAAGGGTCCTCAAGTTAGTTCCGAGTCTCCTTCAGAACCTATATATACTGAAGCAACATCTTGATACTCTATCCAGGGACTTTACCGACTGCCGTGACAATCGCTTCAGCTCCCAGGACCTCGAACCCCCATCTGAGCTCTCCGTCTCGCTCCTGCACCAGGCTTGCCGTTCACCCCTTGCGATCATGAGCAATCCTCCACCCGCCGTCGTGTCATCGGAAGAGGGACGCCTGTACTACTACGGACTGCCTTCAAGACCCATTCTTGTCGCCCGGACGAGCTCTGCTGTGTGGGTGTCTCCAGGGGACACGCGCCTCTACATGGGAGAAAGGAGTATCTCCCCTGTCGGTCCCCATCCGCTACTTCACCTCAATTGGGAAGATCGTATCGCACCAGAGATTCACTCCCTGCTCGGCGACAAGGACGTGCAGTGGACAAGTCTCGATGTCGTGCGGATCGGCTATACCCACGAAGCCAACACCCCTGTCATTCTTTGGATCGGGGTGTTGCCCAACAGCATCTCGGCGCAAGACGGCCGTGCCATAGTCATGCAATGTCTCGAAATCCTTCATGCTCACAATATCGCCGATGTCGAAGTCGAGATGCGCGAATCTGTCGTCGTCCCACTGGCTGTCGGTCCGGCGCCTAAGCTTCCCGCGCTTGACAGCACAAGCTATGCGTTGGGCGCCTCTGTTCTCTTGGATCCTTTTACGACATCACCCAACTTCCCGATCAGCGCTTTCAAGAGTTCTTCTCATCAGGGTACGGGCGGGTTCTTCGTTACCGACCTCGACGACCCAGGGAGGATCCTTCTTGTTACCGCCCGTCACGCCATCTTCTCGCCCGAAGAAGACGACGGCACGCTGTATAGGCATACGGAAGGCTCCGAGCGGCCGCCATGTCTAGTCCAACTCTTCGCGGACGACGCTTTCGAACGGCACAAGGAGTTCTTACAGGAGATGATTCAAAAGTATCGGGGCTTCATCGACATCCAGTCTTCCAGCATCAAGCGTTTCGATGGGCGCACGGATCAGGCAGCGATCGAGGCCAGAAGATACTGCGAACATGACGTGGGCAATGCCCGCAGAATGCTCTCGGAGCTCGATGCCATCTCCAAGTTCGTAGAGACATTCGGCGAGGGCGATCGTGTGCTCGGGCACGTCGTGCTCTCCCCGCCCATTGGTTATAACATCGGACCGCAGGGATACACGGAAGATTGGGCCGTCATCGAAATGTTTCCAGCGAAGATTAGTGCCGGGAACTATCGCGGTAACGCGATCGTGCTACAGAAAGCAGCGTTCGACAATCTCATATGGCCGGCTAGACTATCGAGACAGATGCACCCATACGACGCAACGCATCCCAAGTGTTTCGACTATAGCCTTATCGACAATCTTCTGCGGCTTGGTGGCACGATCACAGACGGCGAACTGCGTCATCCGACGTCGCTCGACGAGAACCGGGAGCAGTGTCGGACGGTTCTCAAGCGCGGCGCGGCGTCTGCTCTGACCGTCGGACGTGCCAACTCGATCTTCTCATACGTCCGCCGCGTCCAGGGTGACGGTAAGACTCTTAGCCGGGCCTCGAAGGAGTGGGCCATCGTTGGTGGTGTCGGTGAGATATATGAGTTCGCGACCAATGGTGACTCCGGTGCCGTCGTTGTGGATGGCCGCGGCCGTGTTGGGGGGTTGGTTACCGGTGGAAATCGTGAGCAAAAGGGAGATATCACATATGCGACGCCGGCCTGCTTTATACTGGAACGGATGCACGCTTTGGGACTTCGAGTACACGTCGCCTGATCATGACTGAATGGCTCGGGATCCGCGAAGCCGTATGGTTTCCGCGCGCTGTATACATCCACCTTAGCGTATATCCTGTACGTCCATAGCGTTTTGCAATGATAAGTTTGCGCCTGTGGCCAATGCTTGCGGCTTTGATCCACAGCGCTTCTGCAGTCTTGATGATCTATCATCATCCGTCGTGTGTGATAATATGCGATGGTATACTATGAGAGATGGTACAAGTGAGTGATGAAGCACAAAAGTGAGCGATCGTATCAATAGCGAGAGACAAAAACCCGGCAAAGGCCAGAGAAAGAACGAAGAAGCACTGTCAATGAATACCACGGAAGTCCAAGTCCGAAAGACCGAATCCTCTAATCCAAGCCGTGTCCGTCTACTATCGTGCCCTCGCAGCGAACCAAAGCGCGGTGAGCGCGACCATGCCAAGCGCACCGAGCGCAGGCGGAACGGCAACGCTGGACGCGCCGCTCTTGTTCGCGGAGTTGAAACTTGACACGAGCCCTGCGCTCGCAAGCCCCGCGTGACCGTTACTTGTCTCGAGCGCCGCCATGTCGACTGTGATCGTGTTCTTGACCTGCGTCTGTGTACTGGTTGAGAAGGTGATAGCGCTTGCGGGTGTGACCTCGTTGTAGTCGTCGTCGTTCAAGAAGACGAGTGCGAAGGCGGGCGCGGGAACGTACACAGCGCACGACCCTGCAACGCACTGCACGGTCGTGACGTTCAAGTCGCCCTCCGGTCGTCCGTCGCTTGACAGCGGCACACCAAAGGTCTGACCCGCCCAAGTGAAGTTGCCAATCTGCGCCACGGAGTCCGCAAGGAGGTACTTGACCTTCACACTCTGAAGGTTCATGCCGGAGACGGAGATCTGCGCAGTGTATGCCTGGGCGCCGGTAGCATCGGAGATGAAGTTGATGAGCGCAATCTTCGTGGGGACGCCGGCCTCCGCGATGAGGTAGCCGGGAGTGTAAACGTTGCCGCCGTTGAGGTTGAGATCTGCGACCTGGGACTTGTTGCGCGGACCGAGGGCCTCAGCCATAGCGAGCGCGGAGTAGTAGACCGGGCCGACGGTCCACTGGCGGAAGGAGCTCTGGTTCGTGGGCGGGGGCGTGAAGGGGTTGTAGTATGCGCCCTGTCCACCAGAATGGAAAAGAGCGCCCGTGAAGTTGTTCGCAGCGAGGGTGAAGGACCAGTCGAGCGCCCAGAGCGCTGCGCCGAACGAGTTCGAGATCCCAGGGAAACCGGCGCAGGAGGCGGTGTTCGTCTCGAAGAGCATCAAGCCCTTTCCGTTCAGCTGCGCCTGTGCTGACGCGTTCACGTAGTTGGCGATGAGGCCGGTGCTCATCGAGTGAACAAGGTAGTTGGGGAACTCTGTTTGAGGGTCGAGTGCTGTACCATCTGTTCCGAAGACGGCGACACAGTTGTTCTCGGGATAGCTAGCACGAAGTGATGTGAGCAAATGCAGAATGTCGGGATTGGGTGTGGGACATACTGCTCAACTGCGAGGGTATTGACGTTCTGCGCGTTGTTCTGCAACAGCCCGGCGTCGAGAACTTGCTCCACAGTCCAATCGCTTGAGACGCTGGGAACGACAAGCAGATTGGTCGCATCGATGCCCTTCGCCGACATCTGCGTGTTGAGATCGAACAACTCTCCAACGTAGTCGGCAGGTTGATACGTCTGGCGGGCAACACATGAGTTTTGATGATATACTAAAGATAGAAGATACATACCGCGTTTCGGTGATCGTGAGACGCATAGAGGTCAGGCTCGTTGGCTAAGAAGGATCATCAGTGAACACCCAGAACTGTAAGTGCGGCGTACTAACCAGCTTGCATGCCTAGGAGCTTATCACCGAGGATGCTCTGGGCAACCTGGACAACAGTGAGGTCGAACGGCGTAGTGTTGAAGAAGGGCAGTCCTGCATCCCCATTCAGTACGATCATCAGCGCTAACTACGTCCAATGACGTACCGGACCACCAGCGGGCGTTGACGAATGTGGAGATGTTGGCCATGAGGTAGAACATGTCAGGTGTGATGTCCAACGGCGGGGTGGCCGACGGAGAAGAGGCGCCGTCGACATCCTTCTGCAGTATCTTGCCGTCCGGTAGAGTGTCGACGACAACGGCCGTCTCCTGCGTATTACCTCCGACACGAACTTGGACCCAGCCGGCGCGTTGGGCGACGTTGGAAAGCAGGTTCAAGAAGGGGACCTGAATGAAAGAGCTGTTCTTGCCAACTATGACGAGTCAGGATCGCGGATGGACGGGGCTCAAGGACGGCTACGCACGCATCTGGTTGACAACGGACATCTCGATACTGAAACCAAAGAAGGCGCCGCTCTGGGCCAGAGACATGACAGGTAGCGCGCCAGAAGTCAGTGCGACGTCGATGGTTGTATTGATCGCCGGATTCGGGACAGCAGGAGGTTGGAGCTGGGTCGTGTTGTACGCGGCCGCACCAGTGTACGAAGCGGCGGCAGCAGTGACGGTAGAGGAGGCGGCGGAGGATACACCATTGAAGATGACCTGCTGAAGAGGCTTGTAAACCGTCACCTGGGCGGATACATGGGCCGCGAAGAGCGCAGGAAGGAGCAACGAGGGTCCGCGCATGACAGACGCGGTACACAACGACGAGGAGAGCAGAGGGGAAAGCCAAAGAACAGACGTCGGGGATCTGCCTCAAACTGGACAGACGCCTCTTGCGACTGCGGACAGGCCACGATATAAAAATAGCAATCCGCATCCCCTGCGGCGGACCTAACCGGCGATGCGCAGTCATGAGAATATTCACGGCGCCCTGTGAGCCGTAACGCGGACAACATCCTAAAAGGCATGATTGTGAGATTTAGACGCTACAGAACGGTCATGATGGCTGGGAGGAGGAGGAGAAGGTGGCCGACAATCCCGGTTGATGGCGGGGTTTCCTTATTGGGAGCGAGCGGGCTCGTCTGACCGAAAACGCTCAGCCCGGGGTACACAAGTGCCCTCATCTCGCTTCCTGCCTATCATTGTCCATGGAAAGCAGCCCTAAGCAGCCTCGACCTTTGAACGTTCAACAATGATACAGTAATGATACTTCTACCCGCAGCGATATCGACGCATGCCATTTCCGGGCAACTTAGCAACCACAGGCGCCGATGAGCCCGCAGACGCACGCCGGTCGTCCTCTTCCTCCAGCTGACACTCATCGTCAATCTGGGCCAATACCCATGGAGCTGAAGACTCGGTCTTTCTCCTGTCATCTCATACTCACAGGCTGGCTATGTTATCGTACTTCCTGTATGCGGACTGAACGCGAAGACAAGTGCCACACGCAAGCTGCAAGGCGGAAGTACTACTAATGATGCCGCGTCGTTGAATATGATAAACCGAGGGCATGCAGCCGATACGACGCTTGCTTTTGACGTAGTCATATGCATGACAGTAGAATGGGCTTGATTCGCTGCGAACGCATGGTAGTGCGTACGGTGAGAGGCAGCCAGCCAGCGCTCAGTCGGGGAAGGCCGGCCGAATGAACGTAATGTCGGGCCGACCAGCGATTGGCCAATTCGCATTTCGAAGCGTCATGGGGACGCGCGCCTCAGAATGGCGTCTCTTCTTGACCATCATCTCTGTGGCCCCACCGTAGCGCTGGTGCTCAGTATAACCAATCGATATTCAATGTACTCTCTGGCGTCATAAGTCTCCGCGATACGGCTGCTCGACTTCTCCCGCGGGTCCGACTTGGACCCGACTCAAGCGCGCACAGCACCGCAATGACTCAATAACGCATACTGATAAAGGCGGGGAACGAACGACAAGTACCCCGCATTCCTACTTGTTCCCCCATCCAGCCTTCGTCAGAGCCCTCAATATGCGCGATGGATATACCGAAAAGAGTCTATGGCAATCGCCTTTACCCAAAAGCGCCTACGTAGTCGATGATCCCGGCTTCCCACCTCGTAAAGGGCCAGATACAAAGCCTTGGACTGGGACCCCGGCGTTCTGCCCAGCCCTCGAAGGCATCGACCTTCCAGGCGCCCAATGGCACCGTCTAGCCTCAGTACCAGCCTTCACTGTTTGTAACAAATGTTACAGTACAACGATACGGGATGGTCTAACCCAGTTCTTCTCGTCCTTCTCAACTGCCTTCCAGCAGATGTCTCCCTCGGAAGTCCCTTCGCGGCCCCTCTGCTACTTTTCGACGCCACATGTACGACGACTCTGGTCTGACGTCCAGAGGGTGCGCTCTCTCGACGGGCTCATCGCGTACGCTCGCATGCGCACATCCCTTCCTCAATGTGCCGGCCCGCAAGGCTGCACACCGGCCTCGCCCCTCGCCCCGCCAACCTGGTACACTCTATCGCCCTTTCGGTTGCCACAGGTGGAGGGTTTTGTGATTTGCGCAACTTGCTATCACGACGAAGTCGCGGGTTCTCCCGCCGAAGCGTGCTTCCACCCACATTCTGGTAGCCAAGGTCCCTCTGAGACGTGGTCATGCGATGCCTCAGTGCCGCGCGTCAGATGGCTGCTGCGAGAGCTCGCGAGTACCAATGTCACTTGGCAGAGGGGCGAGGCTTTCTCAAACGGTGCTAAGCAGCGTCTCCTGGAGTGCCCGCCGTGCCCCGGCGTCGGCGTGCGCGTCGACTCGCGATCTTATACTTGGTTCAAAGCCAAGGGCGAACCCAAGTACTCTGACAATTTCGCAGAGATGGCAATTTGCGGCGCCTGCGTTCTCGACTTCATCTCATCTGCCCCGGCCGCTGGCATACCAGGCGTGACCGAAGACATGTTCGAGCGTCGCGCGCCTGTACCAAAGTCCGAGCCCGACTCCGATGCCAACCGATGCACCTGCGATGCTGCAGTGCCGAGTTTCCGCTTTGCTCTCACTCAAGATTACAACCATCCTCCACCGCGCATGCCGGGCGTCTGCGCGATATGGGGACCAGGTGTCGACAACACAGCGCCAGCAGACATATGGCGAGACGCCGCGCGTCGATTATCCATGCCCGGCGGATCCTGCGCTGAGCAGCCGGGCAACGCCATACCGGAATTCGCACAATCATACCGCATTCGCTGGGCCGGTTTCGCAAGCCCCGTACTCGACTTCGATCTTTGCGCGGCGTGCTATATGGGCATAGCCCGCCCGCTGGGCTTCCACGATAAGTTCGTGCAGACGGCCGCGCGCAACAAGATCTGCGACCTCGGGCACGCGCAACCGAGGCGCGACGAGGTTCAACGAGCACTCATCGGCGCATGCGCGATGCGAGACTTTGGCATCTTTGAGAGGTGGGTGTTGGAGAACATGGGGGCTGACACGACGGGCGTAGGCAATGGGACGTCTGTCACTTTCGGTACTTCGGGGCTGGTGGTACCGCGTATCGAGGATTTCAAAACCTAGGACGGCACTCGGACTTAGTTGTATATAGTCTCTGTCTCGTTTCCATGTACTATCCACCTTGCTGCAATCATATGTGTCATCGATTGTACGCCAGCGTCTTTCCTAAGCATAGCGAGTTGGTACAACGTAGTAATAAAGCTGTGGGAAACAAGTCGAAGCATGATATCGTGACAGGCGTCAATGGGCCGCGCGCGGGTTTACTCTTGACCACATCGATCACCGACCACAGTCAACCACCTCGAAATCCGATATGTAAAGGAATCATGTTCACCCTCGTCTCAATGCACGCACGCCGAATCTGCCAGTGACGCTATGGGTCAAACCAAGCTTTTCGTGGACGCTGTCGATGTTGCCGGTCGCGTGCACTCGACCGCCGAAATACGCCACAATCCGTCGCAACCGTGCTCGGACGACACCTCGGAGAAGTGGCAGAATGCTTTCGATGGCCGTCATCTAGAAGACGCTTGCGCAGGAGTCGCAGTCTTTGGGCGACGGCGTTACTGTGTTGTGCGCATGCTTGCAGAAGCTGAGAAGCCACTCACGAAGTTCGACTCGATGCGGGAAATGGTGAGGGCTGTTCACGATGCCCTTATCGGTATGCACCATTGCTGTCTGATTCTCACGGTGACTCATATATACCTATCTACAGCTCACAAAGTGGCCTACGAACAGGCCCACCTGTTGCACCGCGACGTGTCTCCGAGCAATATCCTCATCACATTCAGCGGCGGCTGTCTTGTCGACTGGTACTCTACGCTCGACCGGCGTCTTACGACGGGGTGCGTTGACGATGATGATGACGAAGCTTGTACACCGCAGAGGGTGGTGCGTCTTGATCTGTTATTGATGCTTGCGCTTGCCCTTACTGATGAGCGTTACAGTTGTCACCGTTTGCATCCTACGCATTATGGGATGGTATGAAGGTCACCCACGACCTGCGTGACGACCTTGAGAGTTTCCTGTGGGTAATACTCTATATGGTGCGTCGACAGAGTATGACTACTTATGTGAATATGAAAGTGACCTCTGTAACCTAGGCCGTTCGCTACCGTCCCATCAATCTCGATGCGAGATCGACCTTGTGGTATCTTTATACGACCTTCAACATCGGTCTATCGTATACGAAGGACAAAGGGGACACTCACTACGACTACGTCGGTGGCGCAAAGAAGCTTGACTTTCTTCGAGGATATAGGTCCAGTTTTGGCCGCAAGGAGGTTTACAGAAGCCTTCCTCAGCCGCTTCAGTTCTTGCTGGTCAACCTCTCTTACATCTTCTTGCCGCTATACCCTCCCAGCTTGAGGGTGTTCCTTTCCGTGCGCGACTCCACAGAGGTTGTTGCAGAGCTCCACCCTGACTTGCCCGTCGACGAGCTTTACGGCGGCAAGGTTCTCACGGGCAAGGATATTTGGCGCCTTCAAGAAGAATGGAGACGGGTACCAGGGGAGAAAAGCGCGGTCGACTTTGAACTTCCGTCTGGCACTGTCATCACTTTCAAAGAAGAGTCTATCGATTACACGCCCGTGGAAACGCATGCGATGGTCCAGCGCGCAATCCTGATTGCCGCTTGGACGGAGACGTCAGCTTGGGATCATGATGCCAAGGCTGAGGACCAGCTTCCTCGACTCCAAGCCGCATTCGTGAACGACGCCGTCGACGATGCCTAACTAACATAGAGGCTATTCGAATAGGCCGCAAATTGGGGAACTGCTACTAGCAGCGGCCGGTTCTCTAGCGCAAACCATTCAGGAGAAGCGGGTGGCATGGAGCAGCCTCGGGCTCATCTCTTCGTGATGATTTTTCGGTTCGTATACTATCAGTGTACCCCATTTGTATATACATATCAATAATCGCGACAATAATGGCATGACAAGGACCGTACGGTGGACGATCGGGCCAATTCGGCGCAGTGTGCTCCATCAATGTTCACGAACGTTTGAACACTCATATCGTGGGAAGTTCGCCTCGTGCTACAGACCTGGTGGTTGTCCTGCCTGTCGCGGTGTTGCATCCAACCACCTCGACTATCGACCGATATAATGTTCGACTATCATCTAGGCCCGGGACACACCTACTACGCGTCTCTAGACCTACCTAATTTGGACACTCGCCGCGATAGGCTTCATGATCCGTGACGTAGAGCGCCTTGAGGACTGCGACCGCTTTGACGACAAGAACGGGAAGGAAGGCCAGCTGGAGACGGAGAGAAAGGTTCACTGGCGACTACGCGCGGTCAAGGTCATTCCCCACAGCTCAGGCGACGCGGATGATAGCCGGCCGCGGACGCGTACTGATCGCTATCTTCCCTATGCGTGCGCCGGAGTGACCGTGTTCAGTCGCCGACATTACTACTACGCAGTAACTGAGATCGGGCGCCCGTTGAACAGCTTCAGGTCCACCTTCGAGCTCACCCGCGCTATCTCAGGTTCCATCACCGGTACGCTGACCCCTTTTCGAAAAGCTCCGACATATGCTCAACTCCAAGTGTGGTCGTAGCACACAAACAAGCGTACGAGAAGGCAAACCTGCTTCACCGTGACATATCGCCCGGCAACATCCTCATCACGGAGAAGGGCACCGGTCTTCTTATCGACTGGGAGTCTGCGAAGCGTATAAACGTCGACAAGGCGCGCCAACCTCGTATGGAGTGGAAAGTTGTACGTCGCCGTATCTCGCACACGATGCACACGATGATTATGCTTATCATGCCCTTTGCTTATAGAGAACCTCGCAGTTCCACTCATTGGCTCTGCACCGCAACAGCGACAAGTTGACGCACGACCTGCGCGATGACCTGGAGTCATTCCTCTGGGTCTTGCTATACATGGTATGTCGCAACACTACGAGATTCCACCTAGTTATTGATCATTGGCGCAGATCGTACATCTCCGCCCTCTGAACCTCGATCCCACGACAATGCTCTTCTACCTTCACTCCACCTTCGACGTCACGCTGGCGTACAAGGACAAAGAGGGACGTACACTCTATCACGGCGGCGACAAGAAGCTCTCGTTTCTGCGCGGCGAGACGAACAGCTTTGCGAACCCAACGATTTTCGAACGACGCGTACCATACCCTCTGCGCAAGCTTCTATTCGATCTCGCCGACATCTTCGGTCCGATCTACCCCGCGATTCCCCCAACAGTTCGCGCGCACGAGGAGGACTTCGTGAATGAGGTTGAAGCCGTCCCTAACATGCCCAAGCACTTGTACGCCGGCTTGGATTCCGAGGATGCTATGGCTCTCAAGGAGGAGTGGAGACAGAAACACCTTGCCGAGCGGGCAAAGGCACCGGCACCGGCCGCTCCCCACCCCTTGCTGAAGCAACTACAAGAGTCCAACGTGAACTGGGCCGAGCCTGTCATCGACTACACAAAGGTCAACGATCATGCGGCGATCATGGAAGCATTCACCGACGCTCTCATGTCGGATACCTCGACCTGGTTCAAGGCGGACGCCGCCGATGACCAACTTCCTTCTCTCCGACAGTTCAAGATCATCCAGCCCAATGCCGTGAACGGCACACCGCTGAATGGCAGCAGTCAGCGACGCCCGGCTGGGAGTAGCAGTAAGAACCGGCCCCCTACCGAGTCTTCCGTTGAGCGAAGCTCGAAGAGGATCAAGGTGGACGGCATGTCCTCGCCCGCACGGGCTCCTACTCCTACTTCGGCGAGCGTCGGTCCTGACGTCGGACGTCGTCATTGGGAGGAGATGATATCTGAGAGGGTGACAAGGCCCCGTGCGGGCCAATTGGCCGCCGCTGGGATGGGAAGCCAAGTCGAAGATGAGGCTTCGGATGAAGAAGATGATGATGTTGAGGATAGCGAGGGTGATGACGAGGGCACTGACTCTGGTTATCAGCCTTCGCGGTGAATTGTGTTTGTGTTGTCGATTTGTTCGTTTGTGTACTGTACAAGCTCGTCAACTTAGCGTACCCTCATATCAAATTCATCTCTTCATATCATTGTTTGTGTGTGATGTGACGGGATATGGCCAAACGGCATGTTGTATGAAATCGTCGCGCCTGGGCGCGCACTGGGCAGAGCGCACAGTCGTTCGTCTACCAGAGCGCTCTCATCATGAATCCGAGCGCCACAACCTGCGAGAGAAGGCGCGGAGAGCTCAGTACAATAGTATACAGTTCCATTGCGGGTCCCCTTGCAGACATAGAAGAAACGGTCCATGATCGCTTGGCGTCTTCGAGCCGTAGAAGCGCGAAACTGCTAGCTTTCACCCACATCAACCACCAACCACCATCAACCACTACGCACGCCTCGGCTCTCTCTCGCAATATAATATGTACACGGATATGACTCTCATCTTGAGGCATATACGCCGAGTCTGATACGGGCCCACCCAAACCCAAATCGAGCACCATGCCATTGGAAGCCATCGTCGACGCTTCCGACGTTGTCGAGAAGCCAACATCTTGGTCCGCACGCGTACGCTCTGCTACTCAGGAGACACCTTCACAAGATGAGGCCCACGCTGTTCGAATTGGCTGGACTTTGACGCCCATTTGCTCGGGCTATACCGCGGGGGAACGGCAGCGCACGCTCCTTGATGGCCGCCTTGGAGACCCTTCCCCGGAAGTCACCCTCTTCAGCCGCCAACACTACTATACCGCGCTCGGAGGAGTCCATGTACCTCTCATCAAGTTCGCATCGCTGCGTCAAATGACCAAGTCGGTTCGTGATGCACTCCTTGGTGAGTGTCTGCGTCTGTGGTGTCATCATCCTGACACGAACAAGCCACTGTAGCTCACGCGCTTGCGTACGCGGATGCCGACCTACTGCATCGCGATGTAGCACCAGGAAATATTCTCATCACCGAGGACGGCGGCGTACTGATCGACTGGCACCCGGCGAGAATGGTCCATACGGACGATCATCGCCAGCTGGGCACGGACGGGAGAGTGGTATGTCTTGAAGTTTATAACACAGAAAGCCATAATGACCATATGCTCCAGGGGACATGGCCATTCTGCTCGTACGCGCTAGATAGCCAGGACAGGGAAGCTACGCACGGCTTGCCTGATGACCTAGAATCGTTTCTGTGGGTCGTGTTATATGTGGTGAGTTGTACAGTACTCGCAATCTCAGAGTATTTTGACGAACATTTGGCAGACTGTCCGTTACCGTCCTCTTGCCCTCGACCCAACAACATACGCATGGATCCTGTTCACAACATTCGGCGTCTCCGCATCACACGGTGCTGATCAAGGATCCGCGTCGCGCCGCGAATGCGATAAGAAGCTCGACTTCTTGCGAGGCTTCAGCAACAGCTTCAGTCGCGCGGACATCTGGAGGACCATCCCCTTGCCACTCCACCGCCTCCTAGCTAAGCTGCAGGACATCTTCGCTCCGCTCTACCCCATACGGCCCAGCAAGATGCATTTCTCGGACAAGGACTCAGCAGCTGCTATCGCTGGTATCGTACCTGATCTTCCTGAGGAGCTCTTTAGAGGCAAGAGACTCCTGGCGCGTGAGCTGAAGCTTCTCCAGGAGCAATGGCGAAGGGGGGAGATTGCTGCGCCAGTCACCGCCCAGACTAGCTCTCGACGGATCGAAGAGGACGACTACTTTCCGCCTATTGATTATGCGCCAGTCCAATCGCACGGTGTCATTGCGTGGGCGTTTGACGTTGCAGTACTGTTGGCGGGTGATACGGCGTGGGACGAACTGGATGGTGGCGCAGTAGATCAGGTCCTTGCGCGGCAGAGCGGCTTCGCGTGCGTCCAGGATAACATTACGAGGGCGTTCCCCGTGCATACATAGTTTATGATTGTCTCACGTGTATGAGACTCAGACTGTACTACAGATAGCCTTATGTAACCTGATTCAAGGACAGGGTGGTGATGGTGGCTCGTTCGCGCCGTCGTAGATATATGTATGCTCGTCAAAAGACTGTGGCTATTTACATACGCGATCGAACTGATTGGAGGCATATATATCGCCTCATGACCGAATACCCACATACATATGTAAATTCCGCTATGGATCTGCCTCTTCGAGAAGAACTGGACTGGTACCCTTTCGAAAGTGCCGCTGCTTTGCGTGACGCGAGAGTCGCTTGCCAAGAATCAGTACGATCAGTGCGCACTGCCGCAAGAGAGTCGAGCCTCCAAAATCCCTGACGGAAACCACCTGAACGAGTGCAGATTACAGGTCAGCGAATCGGGTTGAATCGGTATCGCGTGGTGTGGTTCTGCAATCGTGGGAAGCTTGCCTCGTGCCACAAATCCCCGCTGTTTGCCCTCAGACGCGGCATTGCTTCTAACCACTACAACCCCCAACCACCCATCAGCCCCGCCGCCCACGGGCCCTTTGCCTTTGGTGTATATAAGGTGAATCCATGCTCTTCTCGCTCTACTTCGTGCGTCATGTCGGCCAGCGCCTCTCCCCCACCGACTACGCCGGGGCTCTCGGACGTATCGGATTCTCACGCTGACGCTCTCGATGCATCTGACAGTGGCACACCTTGGACCTTTCCTCCTCGCTCGGGATACATACAACCTACTGCTCAGACTACGACACCGCCGAACCGCTCGACTGTCATGCCTCAAGATACGCCTATCCACTACAAGTCCATCGCGGCGAAGGTTCACGCCGCGGCCAATAGCGTTGTACGCGACAAAGAGTACATTGAGATTGGCCGCGACATGTACGAGCACATCGTCGGCCCTGTTCCCGCGAACGTGATTCTCAGCGACGTAATGACGGTTCAGTCCGAGGTTGCAAGCGTCCAGTTGCGCCGAATTGGGAAGATCAAGAAGGAGAAGGATCTGGTAAGGCATTTCTGTTCATGCGTGCGGGATTTCTGGAGATTGAAACGCCTCTTCACCTCAGGTCCGGTTCTTCAAGGCAAACTCGTCCGCGTTTCCGTCTTTGAGACTTCGCGACTCGCACAAGAAGTCGACGCGCACGCCATACTCGGACACGCTGCGTCTACCGGACTGGATGCTCTGCACCTCCGACGGCAAGATGGAGGTTCCTGGCGAGCTCAAGCCGCGCGTCTCGGATGACCCGTTCTGTGACCCTCCGACGGGTGCCGACGGCGACGCTGACAGAAGCAATCACCTCTTCCTCAAGGAGACGGAGGCTGCTATGATGATCGTCGGACAGCTCGTCGCATATGCCGCCTTGATGTTCGAGGTGCAGCCGCGCACGCACGCGTACTCCTTTTTCGTCTGTGGACAGACGGGAAGGCTTCTACGCTGGGATCGCGCTGGCTGCATCGTCTCCGAGTCGTTCGATATCAGCGGCGCCGATAACTATCTCTCGCAGTTCTTCCTCCGTTACCACCTCATGAACTCGGAGGAACGCGGCCACGACCCCTCAGTCAGGTTTGACGTCAGCGACGCGGAGAAGGCGAAGGCGAAGGAGCTCTTTGGGCAGGAGGAGGGCGTTCTCGAAGGCGAGTGCGACGAGGAGAACTTCCGACGTGTTATCTTCCCGGACGACTCTGCGAAGGACGGTCAAGGCGTTCCGCTCTTACGGCAGTTCATCGTTACGAAGCCGCGCTACTTCTCTGAGAGCGTCGAGGGCGCGGCGACTCGTGGTGCGATGGCGATGTACATCGACGGCCCGGTCGCCACTTGGAAGGTCACGTACTTGAAGGACACGCATCGCTATGATGGCCTCGACGATGGGTGCACGCTTGAGAAGGAGGGCGAGACCTACGAGAGGCTACACGCCGCCGGAGTCCGAGCGATCCCAGAGCATGTATGTTCGGGCGACGCGCTGGGCAGTTTCCAACGCACGCTCACCGATCGCTACCTCCGGTATGCCTGCGCCGGTGTCACGCTCTTTGGACGCCGGCACTACTATACTGCCCTCGGAGAAATCGGCAGACCTCTCACCATGTTCACATCGATGAAGCAACTGGTCTCAGTTATGATGGATGTCATTGCTGGTACATATATCCTCCCGAAGTAGATCTTTCTGCCGCTCATCTGACTGTATGTTGCAGCACATATGGATGCGTACACGAAGGCGAAGATCCTGCATCGCGATATATCGCCGTCGAACATACTCATCACCAAGAATGGGGGGATGTTGATTGACTGGCAGTTCGCTAAGGAGGTCCAAACCGACGACGACCGTCGTCCTCGTATGGAATGGAGAGTGGTATGTGATGCTATGGCTCTGCGGTCTCCCAATGATGGTACTCATTGACATTCTTCGTCTCTCTCATTAGGGGACGTGGCAGTTCTATTCGTATGCGCTCCACAGTCAGGACAGCAAGCCGACACACGACCTCCGCGATGATTTAGAGTCCTTCATGTGGGTTTTCTTGTATATGGTACGTTTTCTCTTTTTGTTCAGATTCGATGCCCCAGGCGTTGATAGTACTTGTTAGCTTGTGCGTTACCGTCCTTTGAATCTGGACCCGACTACCACCTTGTGGTATTTGTTCACAACATTCGACGTCTCCTTATCATACACCACCGGCGAAGGGGCAGGACGCACACGCTACTATGGCGGAGACAAGAAACTTGGATTTCTGCGGCAGGACAAGAATAGCTTTGGTCGTCATCAAATCTATACGACCCTTCCCGTACCGGTTCGCGCCCTTGTCGGCGCTCTTCAGGATCTCTTCGGGCCGCTCTATCCGATTGGTAGCGCCGAGATAGAAGTTCCTGAGCGCGCGGCTCCTTTACCGGTGCAGCAGAAGATCAAGGTTCCGAAGGAGGTATACCGCGGCAAGGGGTACACCGCTCGTGAAATTGAGTTCGCCAAGGCAGAGTGGATTCGGACGCACGCTCAGGACTTGCAAGTTGCCACGCAGATCACAACCCCGGCCCCGCCTCCCGTGCAAGTGAAGCCACCGCCCATTGACTACACGCCTGTGGAGACGCATGAAAAGATCCACGGCTTATTTGAGGACGCTAGGGAGTCCGAGGAATGGGATTACGGTTACGACGGAGAGGCAGAAGACCAGGTTCCCAAACTTCAGCGAGCGTTCATAAAGATGCAGCCCAACGCTGCGCAGGTAGCGCCGACGGATCTGAGCAGTCAGCGCAGCTCTCGTAGGAGCAGCAAGCTGAAACGTGCGGCCGAGACTAACAGTGCGGACGAGCCGAGCTCCAAGAAGAGGAAGACCGATTCGCCCTCCACGACCTCACTGGTCACACGCAGCTCTACCCTTGCATACGAAGCGATGGATAAACTGCCGATCTCCGCAGAGAAAGACAACGACGTGGGACAGGATATGAAGGACTTCGCCGCCCAGTTGCGCGCCAAGTTGAAGGAGGATGAGGAGGTCGAGAAGGCGGGGAATAAGGTCTGGCAGGCTTACAGGTACCCCGATCTCACACCTCCATCCTCTGATGGGGAAGAGCATGTTGCTAGCGCGGTGGAACAGCAGGAGGAGGAGGAGGGGAACGATGATTCGGACAGCGACGACGAAGACTTTCACCCTTGATGACGTGTAATAGTGTTCTCATTCGCGACTTGCGTCTTAAACATCCATGTATCTATTCTGCACCTCTTTGCCCTTGATAAACTGTAAATCATGATGTTGACGTTGAAGTGCGCTGTAAACTCACGCAGGCGATTATTCCCGATGACACTTCTAGGTCTGGGTCTTGGACTGCCTAAACGGCACCCGTTCCTGACCTTCTGTGCTTGGACCATGCAAAATGGCATATGCTTTATGCACGGCCAAGGAACAATGGTGGTCGGCCAATGCAGGTATGGGCTCAAGTATGCCTTGGGCGGCACATCAGACGCCCGCGACGCGAGCGGCGGGGGGTTCGAATCGAGCGTGGCGAGCTTTGATTCAATCAGTACTTCCTTGCACCTCGACTGAGATTAAGCCATGCAACCTCATGTACTCCTCAGCAGGTCACGGGACGAAGAGAGTTAAGATATATGGATGTGCCGCTTGTCGGCCTTAACCGACTTATCTTTGTTGGTGATGTTAGCATTGCACGATGATTCAACGTTCTGTAGGTATTCGTGGGGCCTAACGACCATTAAGAGCCACGCAGAAACCAGCAGGTATGATGTACGAGCCCACGACCGCTCTGGCAAGCTGTGAACAAACGGCATGTTGCGTAGAGATTTTTTTTTTTTTTTTTTTTTTTTTT